AGCTTGGAGTAAGACAACATGCATGAAGAGGATGATGTGGACAAAATACTCATTTGCCTAATAATTCTGCACTCCCTGTATATTTGCACAAGTTTCAATGAGTCGCTGTGCCTATTTCCCATTTTACTAGAAAATAAAAAAATAAGTGGAAGCTCAAGACTTGCATGAGCGATGATGAGACCCTCTTCAGTCAGAAAAACTGGAGAAAATGTGGAGCCCCTCTTGAGGAAGGTGACAAACATTAAATTATTTTTATTTCCTTACTTTCCACAAAAACATCTTTCTCTGTTTGATCGCCTGATTTACTATCAGGTTCAGCCTGCACTTTCTTTACACATATAACACACTGTATGTTGCAAACAACATGTCACACTGGGTAAAAATAGATGCAAATAAACTGCCTCAAATGGTCTCAGCCGTCCCCGCATCCCTCCAGGTCCCCTCACTTTCATCCGTCTCCTCTCTACAGTGCATGCCTCCCTCGTGGCTCTGATTCCACTGACAGCTTTCACTCTGTGTCATCCAATAGGAGGCTAAGCTGCGGGAGCTGCTCGATGTGGGAAACCTGGTTGGTAGGCTGGAGAACCGCATGGTTACCGTGGTTACGGCTTCAGACCTTGTAAACGTCAACCAGCTTAACTTCATCGCTTCGCAGGAGGACGAAGCCAAGGTGCTGAGCTCATTAAAGCGACCGTGACCATGACTAATTGCGATGATAATGATGATGCAGTGTGTGACTGTTTTTGTGTTTCGTTTTTTTGTAGGTGTGGTGTGAGGAACTGTTTTCTCTGTCTTCCAACCTGCTGAGCCACAATCTCAACCGAGACCAGAGTCTGCTGAAAGCGTGAGTACGCACACATTCATCACTGCACGCACTTGTTTGTTTTATTAAACAGTATATGGCTTAAAGGGAAGCACAGATGTGGATTTGTGGAGTTTGGAGGTTAATAAAAAAAAATACTGAGTCTTTTGTGATAAACTTAATCATCCCTGCTGCTTCCTGACACCTTTTTGAAACCTATTTTCTGCACATCTTTTAATCTTAATGGTTTTACAAAATGCTTCATTCACACACACCATTGACCCATTTGCCTGACCACTTTTGCTACTTCACCCTTTGAAACTGACACCCTCTAATTTTTCTGCTTCAGGTACATCAAGTTAACTCTTCAGCCGAATGCAGAGGGGAGAATTCCTGTCAAGAAGTGAGTTCCCGATGATTATTAGGTCCCCAAGCCTCACTCAGTGGTTTTACGCAAGCATTTGCTTTGAGGCACATGTTACAGTATATGGTTGGGAACGTGAGGAATTAGCCTGAAGAAATCTTCAGAGACACGCACAAACTTTAACTTTGCTCTTTCCTGTCCCTTGCTTCCAAAAATAAACTTAATTCCATGTGCACTTGGGGAAGCAAAAACAGGGACAGGATTCATGAAGGTGCTTAATTCAGCACTGACCTGGTAATCAACCACTGCCAGAGCATGAGATGGATAATACAGTTATGACAGGAAGCTGTATTTTAGAAGCAAACTGAGAGCCGAATTAAGGTCAGCTGATATCTAAGAAGCCGAGGGAGTAGAGTTTTAAGAAAGCCCGCACGGTTTGACAGTTTGCACAGCCGAAGCTTTGGGCTCGAGTGAAGAGGGTGAGATTTGCCAAAGTGAAATTGCGTACACGGTGAATAGTTGCATTTCAAGAACCGTTATGGAGGATTAGCACCGTAAATGTCGGCCCATTAGTTGGAGAGAAGAATATGTAGAGGTTCTTACGGAAAGTAAAAAAATGAGTTTTGGGTTGGTGGAATGATCATAATATTGTTGCACCACTGTCTGTTTCAGTATTGTTCGGCTGTTTTCATCGGACAGAAAAAGAGTCGAGAATGCCCTGGAGAGCTGCAAACTGCCCTATGGACGGGTAAATACTTCAGTTAGTTTGGATTATTATAGGTGGCAGGGAATGAAAGACACACATGAAAAGCTGTTCTCTTTTCGTGGATAACTACATATTAGACTCACAAAGTATTTAGTTTTTTTCTCTCTTTTTCTCTTTATTCTTTCTTCTCAGTTTTCTGTTTTCTGTTGAAGCTTTTGTCTGTTGGTTTTGTCCAGAATGACTCATAGTGCATGAATGGGAAAAATAAGCTCAGATATCTGGGTCATCAAGTTTTCAAGCAGCCACTTCCAATTCAAAACAAAGTCGTGTTGATTTTACATGAATCACACATTGAATATTCCTGTGAGCACAGAAAGATTGTTTTTGAAGAAGACATGTTGGAGGAAAAGTTGCATTTTAAAAGGGGTTTTGAACTATATTTTGCAGTTGGCATTATCAATAATTAATGCCCATGTTCTTTGTATTTGACAGGGTGACAGCATCAAACTGGAAGACTTAACACTTGAAGTTTACCGGAACTTCTTGGACAGTCTGTGCCCTCGTCCTGAGCTTGGGAACATCTTCAAACTGCAGTAAGTAAACAGAAAATAACTTGAGCTGGAGCTCTTGCTGCAGCTACTGACCTCTACTCTGCTAAAAGATGTATTAAAGATGAAGAAGCTACTCTACAAAATGAAAAGTTGTTATTTGCTTCAGGCCAATTTTTTTGATATCAGAAAAATCGTGATTCATCGCCTGTCCCACTTGTACAGACAGACAGGGATTGAACAAACTGGTTGATCTTTAGCTTTGCAGCAGTAATCATATTCTTAAAACTAATCTATCCCCTCTTCCAACGATGTTATGCAACTGGACCAGTTTGTTAGAAGTAATTAGCTTTCTGAAGCCGATCTAAATCCTGATCCTGGAGTTTTTTTTAATGTAATTGTGTCCCTAGAACCAGAAAGGTGTCTAAATCTAAATCTATTTGTATTAATTACTTGAACAACAAGACAATACGTCACAATTTCTTTTTATTTCAAGTTGATATGCAGTTGTAAATATATGATGATTAAGACCTCATTAAGACCAGTCAACAACCCCCTGGCGACCACTGATCACTAGGAAAATAAATGTCTATTCTGCAAAATAGACATTCTACCTTTTTCTCTCTGAGCTGCTGTGAAACTGCAAACATCTATGCAAACTACTTGTAGCCTAGTAATGACCACAGCAATCACAAGGAGCTTTTCAGTGCTTCATCATATACCTCTTTACTACCAGTTTGTTATGCACGAGACTGTCAGGAACCTCCAGCAACCACTCGCTTACTAGTCACAGAATACACACTTTTCCCGCATGACTGGTGGTTGCTAGATAAGTGCCAACAGGTCTCTAGGTCTGTGTGACTGAGACCTGAACCACTGTGAGATGGGCCCAATCTGAAATTTCACATCGTATCTTCACACTTAGAATGACAACTTGATATTTTTTTAAAAAGAAGCGTATCATCTAGTTGTTCTCAAATATTATCACAGGGCATTTCTGCATTGAAGAAACTGGAATCAATAAAGGATGATAATAATAAAATAATTTAAATGTTTAGCTATAGTTTTTGTAGTACTTGTACTACACTTGTACTTGTAGTAGTAATTCTCTGTATCTGGGGTTTTTTTCTAGCATTGGAAAGCAGTAGATAAATCTGTACAATGTGAAAACTGGCAGATTTATGCAGCATACCACTTGTACATTTGTTCTAGTGGTTTCTCATCACACATAAAAGCATGTTGACATATTCCAGTTTCTACAAACGTTCTAAACCCTTGCAAATTGATTTAACTTAATTGATTTAATCAATTGATAAAATCAATACAATAGCACTCTTCCCATTTTAAAAACTGTTTTTCAAGAGTATGAGGTTAAGCAGCACTCCAGCAGTGGTTCCACAAAAATACACAAACAGCATACAAATTTCTGAGAAGGTTTATCCTCTAATGCTCTGACTTTCAACCTGACTCTTCTCTGCTCTGCAGAGGAGCCAATGATAGGATGCTGTCAGTCGATCAGATGACAGAGTTCATCAACAATAAGCAGAGAGACCCAAGGCTCAATGAAATCCTCTACCCACCTCTTCGTCCTGCACAGACGCACACTGCGATGGAGAGGTATCAACATGACCAGACACAACTGAAGCAAGGTACACACTTAGACAAGCAGATTTTGCTGGAGGTTTTATGTGTTTGTTTGTTGTTGTTTTTTTTTTTTTACTTTAACCTCCTAGGACCTGGCGTCCACATATGTGGACATCACATTTTGGGTTATTTAGACCAAAATACTCAATTTTGCTCTACAAGAGCCTGATATCCACTTACAAGGACATTATACTGCTACTGTTCTATCAAAATTTT